ATACGAAAGAGAAATGGATAAATGTAGTACTAATCTAATGATTATTGTATGATGATAATAAGTATACAAAAAATATATAATTGATATAAATAAGAATTATTAAAATAATTAAAAGTGAAATAATAATAATAATATACTAGGTGTGCCCACTTATATGTTATTCTGATGTATAAGCTTTATTTTACTGTAAAGTTTCATCAACATCCGTTCAGTTTTTGCGTGAAAGAGTAACAAACATCCATCCATACTCACAAACTAACGCGTCTATAATATTAATAAGATGTAATTAAAGAAATGCATGTAATATTCTTATTTTGGGAATTAAAAGGCTTTTTTATTTTTATTTATTTATTTTATTATTATTATTATTTCTATCAATTGTTTAGTAGTTACTCATAGAATTATTCTTACAATTACTATTATTAGTACAGTCATATACTTTCTAAGGGTTTTAGTTTTTTCTTAAGGTTCTATACACACAGCCCACATCACTGGCCACAATATACTACCAAATAAAATCTGGCACTTTCTCGTTGACACATACAAAATGGTTCCATTTAAACAACTGTCTGTGTTTAGGGAAAGTTTTCTCTATGGATTTCAGAAATGCTTTTTATTTCTAGGCACTGAGTGACAAGGAGAGTAGGGATATATTGCTGACTGTACCAGAAGAGGTCTATCTATACAAATAAATAAAATTGAAATGTCTATTTGTAATTTAAAACAATTTTAATAGCTTCTCACTAAATGCAGTTAGAAGGTATATTACGGTATCTACTTACATCAAAAATATAATTAAAACAAAACGTCTACTTGTTCAAACAAAATGAAACGGCTGGACTAATTTCATGGGACTTTCACTGGCAGATAGCTAATGTTATAAAGAGTAAACTATATACGTATATTTTGTATTGAAAATAATATAAATAATTGAAAATATTAGTAAGAATGGATGTTTAGATAAAAAAATCAGTCAAGTTTCTTGCCCATTTTGCTTTGCTAAATATAGTAAAATCTCTCTGATATATTCACACAGCAACAACTACTAACCCACTTAGAACAATCAGATTTTTTTTAATCGGTTACAAATTTAGTTCAAATTCGTCGATAAAAATATTGAGGTTTAGGCAAAGGTTATCAACATAGTGCCATATATTACTACATAATTATATTTTTGTGCCAGGAGTGACAACATTCATTTATATAAAAATAATAATTTAAAATTACAATATATATCAACATGGTATGTGATAAGTAAGTACTAAAGAAAAATAGATCGATTAAAAAATCATAATTACAAATATGGTATACAAATAAACTAATTAATTATTTTTACTTTTACATTTTTAAGTCAAACTGTGTGAATACAAACTACAAACTAGTACTAGTTTAATGAAATACTCAAATAGAGAGAATATTAAATATACAACCGACTGGTTGAGAACTAAATAAGAATAAATCAGTCGTAGTGATTAGAGCAGACCAGTCCCTACAAGCAGGACTCGTTCACGAGTATGACGGATAGTAAACCACTACGCCACGAGGCACTCGTCATGTAATTTAAACATACTCAGATTTGATTTTACAAATTGTATGATCGTATAATCTATGTATTTACCCGGCTTTCATCCCGCGCACTTCATTCCATTCCAATTATTAGATTTTATTTAAATGGTCATTCGATTTGCCCGTCCTCATTTATCCCTACCCGAATTTTATTCATCACCGATTCAATTCCAATATGGCTTTTAACAAATCACATTTATCATAAGATTATCGTTTAGAACACTGAAAAACTGGGGGAAGGAGATTGTTAGTGATGGGAACTAGTAATTCCCATTGTTAGCAATGTACCATGCTAGGTCGACTGCCAGTCGGTTCCCCCTGGAAACCATTGTGATAAATTCCTAGTTAATTTGTCACGATGGGCTGACTTGACCTCATGTTCATCTTATCATCCCCCACTGGTGCCCCGCCAGCGAAAAACCGTTAGCGCAGGCGGGTGCAACATTTCATTATCATCCCCAAAAAAAAACACCGAAGAACTGCCAGGAATAAAATATATAGGCCAAAAGGTTGTCGCCACAAAGAAAGCGACAGATATTATTTAAAAAAGAAAATAAAATACACTGAGAAAGCTTAAAAAGTGAGCATCAAGATGTATCCTTACTCCTTATTTACTAATATTATAAATGCTAAAGTAACTCTGTCTGTCTGTCTTGTTTTAACGACAAAATAAGTCATTCGATTTAAACGAAATTTCGAGAACAGATAGTGTAGACCTTGAGAAAGGACGTAGGTTCCTTTTTAATGCAAAAAAAGAGCTGAAAGGAGACATGAATACTTGTATGGAGGTATGGTAATTCTTAAAGCTAGAAGCTTAAAACTTATATAGCTGTACATTAAATATAAATAAATATGACATTCAAAGTTTGTAATAATTTTACTCTTAAGGGTCAATTAAAATAGGGGAACATTTTAGGTAATTTTTAAAGCTAAAACGATGAAACTTCTTATACTTTTTTTCTTTATTTGGTTAAGATCACTATTTATATATTATTTAGCTTTGTAATCACTGTACTACCTTACTACTATTATAATATTATTGTTTATTTAAACATAGATACGTTTAGTCTTTAACATTATATAATTTTAATTTTAGTATTTTTAGTCCTAAATATTATACAATTCTATTTTATTTTTAATTACGAATGACTTTTTTATTAATTAAAACAATAATAATATACCTACATATTTATTATTTGAAAATCTAATTACCAATATTAATAAATTAGACGTATAATTTATTCATTACGTTCTGTCTACGAACATGAATTCCCCGAACACTCTACAATCCGAAATACACAGTAAAATAATAGAATATCCTATTAGTTATTTCTTCTGTAGTTACATTTAGAATAAAAAACAATTTGCCACATGCGTATCGTGAAATGAAATATTACATTTACAAAATAACTCGTAGATAAAAGCACTGAATATGTAATAGTCGTACGTAAATAAACGTAACAATATTTTTTTACTAAATATCAAAGGATTATAAGGTTTATAATACAAGGTCATAGCTTAGTGGTTACTATACCGTGTTAGATTGAAAAGTAGTGGATTCAAAACCGGCTGATAAAACTTTTGTGTCAATTTATATCTCTGATTAGATTAGGGAGACATAGGTACTCTCGCCCATGTCGTTTTCGTTTTCAAGGAAAGCGAGGTGTGGACATGTCATTTTGTGTTGAACACAATCATCAGTATGAACATCACGTTATCATATGATACAAATGATACCACTCATGCGTTGCCATTCCAGAGTACTAGGATATCATGCCTCTTATCCTGTAACTTCATACGTCACTATCACGTGATGTCCGTTGTGCTGTTATATGTCATCTTATTATTCTCCACTGGTGCCCTGCCAGCGTAAACCGTTATTACCATTTATTCTATTATCATCCATAAAAAAAACTTGCATTTTAGGGAGAAAGGGGTTGTTAATAATGTGGACGGTTGATCCCATTACTAACAATGTACCATATTAGGTTGACCTCCTCGCGGTTCCCACTAGATACCATCTCGAAAAATTCCCGGTGAATTTGCCACGACCTGACTGACCTGACCTCATACTTCGTGCGTAAAGAGTTAGCGCAAGCAGATGCACCATTCCATTATCATCAATAAAAAAACCTTGCCTTTTTATTATTCTTACCACAACCATTGTATTGTGAAGTCATTATCTTGTTACCGTTATTAAACTAGTTAAGCCCTCAATTTTGTACAGATATTTTTTATTCCTAAATCGATTGCATAAATAAATACATGCACATAATTTTTGGCGAGCCGGCCATAATTTATACATACATTATTTTCACGAAAAACAAAATATTTTATTAAAAAATCACTTTCTTACAATGTGTGCAGAGATTATTATATTCAAATTCAAAAATCATTTTTTCATGTGGGACATTTTAGTTGCTTATGAACGTCAAATTTTTTATATTATAATTTTACTTTACCGTCCAGTTCAGTATATAGTTAATATATAATAAATACTAACAGAGCCGGCCACGCGTTGCTGTGGCTAAGGTTCTTGAATAAAATAATATACCAATTATAAATTGAGATGTAAGCTATACTGAAAGAAGTTGGATCAAATTCCACACAATTTACAAATCAAATTTGTAATCGGTTGCAGTGCAGTTTAGGAGTCCATCGCGGACAAACAACGTGACACGTAATTTGTATATATAAAGATATTAAGTAATAGAAACTATGGCCCTATCGTTGCTTCAAATGTTTTTAGAGCTTTTCATTAATATTTATACATATGTACTAAAAGGAAATATTTTATTTTACAGATTAATATAATAGATACCTAAATATTATACACTGCTTTATTCTTTATACCTTATGGTCTGGACTAAAATATAAAATAAATATTTAGAGGTATAATTTAATTTTTATCTAAAGTAAATACAATTTTATAATCTTAAACTTTACATCATGCAAATGTAAAGTTAAATAATATATTATTATTGCCTAATGGAAAAATACAGTATTTATTATAAATACAATAATCTGGAATTAATATAAAAAATATTGTGAAAATATTCCGAACATTGGGAAGTATTTTAATTGTATATTTAGATATATATAGTATAATTGCACTTGTCTATATAATCTAACCAAACTATATAAAAAAATATTTATATACATAATAAAAAATAATTGACGTTTTGTATGTTTAAAAATTCTCTATATATTACTTAAAACTTTTATAGCTTACGTAAAAGCTTGTTATATAGAAAACGAACAAATAATATATTTTACTATAATTCCTTATTGAAAAAATATAACCATAAATATATTAAAAACTATTGTAAAATTATTATAGAGCTCTTTAATTATTTAATATCTAATTAAAAAAAAATTATTCGAAACAAACAAATCAGATCGTTGACTAAAATATAAATTTGAACAGTACTCACGTATTTCCGGTCAAAATCACACTTCACAAAACTAAAGCTCTCCGAGACCGAATGGATTCGCGGGCGGGTTCGAGCGACGTCCGTCCGCCCCAAAATACCGGCACGGTCTGACTCCAAACTGCGTTTACAGAATCACCGGAGAGAACAGGGTTGTCGATCTTAAAACACTTCTTGTATTAACAAATAAAATATCTGAATATAATATATAATTTGATCTTTTAAAATATGCAGTTTTTAGAAATAGAGTGATTCAAGAGGATTTTATGTATAACAATCGAATGAATTGAGAACCTACACCTTTTTTGGAGTTGATTAAAATGTAGCGACTTTTAAATTTAAAAAGTTTTGTCTTTAATTTCTAACAAAAATCAATCAGTTTATAAATGAATAACTCATAAATTAACAAACAAAACTGAATGGAGAACCTGCTCAATTTTAAGTTGGTAAAATGTAACTTCATAGACCTTACCTTTCATATTCCACACACAATTACCATAAAATTGAGCTTATCGTATTTCGTGTGGGCTACACTCACACATAGTTAACATATTTTGACTAAAAATTGAGGTCTCCACTGAAAACTACTGCTGTGGGCATAGATTGAAACAAAAAGAGGTAGATACCGCACGTCCTTGTATTATGGTCAACTGAAAACGGGTCTGTATACACAACAAGCATATAAAATAAAGATCTTTATTCTAAAATTGACTACTGACGAGTTTCCAATCCTCTAATAGAAACTCGAAACTGAAGACTATTATTTTTTAATTAATACAAAATAATGTTAAATTTGTTGAAGTTAAAATAATAATAATAACCCTGGACAATTAACACAGCGTCATCTAGTCAAACGATAAGCAGAGCTTGTGTTATGGGTACTAGACAACTGATATAAATACTTAGCTTTTTTTGTAAATACATACATAATATAGACCAAGATCGATACAAACAATCATAAATGTTTGCACCGTGCACGGAATCCATCCCGCGACCATCGGAAGTAAAACGGTGCTAAGAAGGTGCTAAACCGCTAGATCACCGAGACCGTCAAATATAAACAAAAATAACTTAAACTTAAATGTCTGTTTATGAGACCAAATTAAGTTTTTCATTAATATGACAGACAGTTACATCAAAAATCAGTTCAATAATTTTTTTTTCTCTGTGTCTCTCAGTTCCTTATTGCTAGTCTCTGAAACAGCTAGACCCATGAATGGATTTGACAATAGAACCTTAAACTCAAAGTCCTAATTAGTTAAGGTCGAATTTAGTTCATTGGGTGACCACTAATTCATACAATTATACACATATTAGATTGAAATGTATATTCTCTTTAATTTTATATTAATTGGACTTGCGTCCTATGACAGCAGTATCTATTAACTCAAAAATCTCTCATTCTTTGTTACAGAATGAATTACATAAACTAAATTTTCACCTGGAAATAGATCTGGATATCGTTCACACATAACGTGACCAGACGTCCCATTTTAAACGGGACTGTCCCTTTTTATACTTACGAGTCCTAGTGATCCCAAAACGAAATATGGAACGCAAAATTGTCCCGTTTTTGGAAACTGCGAAAATTTCATGTTAATTATTGTTGCTAATTAAGGTGAATATTAAAAAAGCCAATACTTTTAATCTTACTTAAAGCTTCACTAGCTATTAAAGCAAATTTGATCATCCAATAATACTTAAATTTTAAGCATTTCTGAATAAGAGCTTTAAGAAATTGTTTTTTCATATTAATTGACATAAATAAACTAATTGTTCTGTTACGTTATTCATACAGGCCATTGTAATGACCTAGTGAGGACACCAGTAACATTACGTAATATTGAGACTTATTTATTTACATAGATTAACATTTTCACTTATATATAGTTTTACATTTACATATTTACTACAATAAAACTTTTACTTCTATTATCTGTAGTCCCCAAACTAGGTTAGACCTCTATATATGTACATAATATGTAACTTCTTTCCCATGTCCCAAATGAAGAAAACTGATTAATAATATTTATTGTATATACATGTACGAGTATGTACAATCATCATCACTACATAGTATAAAACAAAGTCGCTGTCGCTATCTATCCGTCCCTATGTATGCTTAAATCTTTAAAACTACGCGACGGATTTTGAAGCATTTTTTTTAAATAGATACAGTGATTCAAGAGGGAGATTTATATATATAATACATGTACACCCGTGCGAAGACCGGGCGAGTAGCTACTTACATAGTATAAAACAAAGTCGCTGTCGCTATCTGTCCGTCTCTATGTATGCTTAAATCTTTAAAACTACGCAACGGATTTTGAAGCGGTTTTAGTAGATAGAGTGATTCAAGATGGAAGTTTATATATACAATACATGTACACCCATGCGAAGCTGGAGTGGGAAACTAGTTATGATTAATTATTGACAATAAACTCCTCGTAACACGCCATGTCTTACATCATCGAAAGTAATTATAAAAAGCAATAAATTAACCTCCAAGAAATCTACTTGGCGTGCACCTGCTAAATTCTCTCGACCATTACAAGAGATTCACCACAATATATTATATGGGCGCTCTATTGTTTGAGAATTACGCACCCACCTTCGTCTTTATTTAACTCCGTTTTCGCTTGTATATTATATTTATTACCTCTTTTTAACCGACTACAAAGAAAAGAGAACATTTCATCATTACTACATAGTATAAAACAAAATCGCTGTCGCTGTCTGTCCCTGTGTATGCTTAAATCTTTAAAACTACGCAACGGAATTTGAACAGGTTTTTCTTAATAAATAGAGTGATTCAAGAGGAAGGTTTATATATATAATACATGTACACCCGTGCGAAAACGGGACGATAGCTAGTTTAATATAAAAAATTCTCGTGTCACAGGTTTCTTGGTTTTACTCCTCCAAAACAACTTGACCGATTTTGATGAAATTTTATATGTATATTCAATAGGCCTGGGTATAGGTTTATAACCAATTTTTATACCCCTAAGTGTAAAGGGTGGCTCGCCCCAATTTTTTTTTTATAGTTTCGTTTAATTATTTTTATTTTTTTATTATATGGCATTAACAATACATACAACCCTAAAACTTCACCCTTAATTGCGATTTCAATTTATATGGAAAAATGTCAGTCTATTTCTAAAATTATAATAAATTTTATATTCATTTGTATGTTAAATTCTTTATTCATCTTTATTATTTAACGCATATGATGGCATGATGGCCGTGATACTGTTTTTGTATATAGTTTTCGATTGCCACTTACAGTCAGCTTGTCTGCAATCACAATTACATGAACAGGGCGACGGGGATTGTTAGTAATGTGCACCCATTACTAGCAATGTACTATGTCAGGTTGACCTCCACACGGTTACCCCTGGAAACCAAACTGGATGGGCTGGCCTGACCTCGTGTTCATATTATCATCTTCCACTGATGATCCCCCAGCGTAAGCCGTTAGCACAGCACCGTTCCATTATCATCTAATAAAAAAATTACATGAACAAAAAAAACAACGTTATATATATACACTAGCTGACCCGCGCGACTTCGTCGTGCTTATTATTATACACTCGTACATGTAGTCCAATAGTTTTTGCGTGAAAAAGTAACAAACATCCATCCATAACAACAAACTTTCATATTTATAATATTAGCAAGATATCATGGTGTAAATAGATTACCCATCGTATGCCGTAAGCACATTGTAATTAATTATAAAATTGCAAATTCAAACAGGCAAAAGCGAGCGTTCAGTAAGCCTTATTGTTTTATAGACTTGTCAACGAGGCGTGACTGTTTGCCTCGTTTCCTTTGCCTCGTCCCACGTTGTCAGCTTTTATAACAATAAATAGGGGAGGATTTTTACTGAGAACTAGTGACCTCATTGCTAATATATTTGTCTATATATATCCTGTCGACCTTACAGTCCTCAGCAGTCGCTCTGAAAAAAAGTAGTTAATTCTTGGTGACTTAGCCAGGAGGGGCTAACTTACCCGATAATAATAGGTACCGTTAAAAAATAGTATAAATAACTAGCTGACCTCGCAAACGTTGTTTTGCCATATAAATTAAAATAGCTATTAAAAAATAGGGGTTGATGTAGAAGGGTGAAAATTTTGGGTTGTACGTATTTTAAAGCCACATTGCATAAAATGCCAAATTTTAAAAAACAAATATTAGGGGTAGAAAACCCTTATATAGGGATATGAATAGATAGTAACCGATTCTCAGAGCTACTGAATATGCATATAAAATTTCATAACTAACATTGTGAGACGGGAATTTTATACATAAGATTTACTTATACAAATGTCGAAAAGATCCTACATGAATAAATCATTTTGATTTCTAGTTTATTAGCAAGAAACAACCAGAAATGAAGAATTTACAGTGATAATAATAAAGTTAGACTACATTCATTTTTAGTTAGAAATTCTTGAAGTGGCAGCCAACATTTTCCTAATTGGAAAACTTCCTAAAATAAACTCCCTGCCTGTCTTATCAATTGTTTTAAAATGTAGGACGATAAATGAGTAAAATATCTATCTTCACCCCGAATTAAAGGTAAGAAGGGGTCTCCATATAATGTTATAATTTCTTTCAAAATCTATGTACAGCAGTTCTTATTCTCAAAAATTACTTATTTTAGCGATATAGGTTAGTTTTCTATTCAATATAATATTTCCTCTTGTATTATTTTTGTTAAAGATATTAATAATATTTGTAAATTAAGTATGCATTGTATTTTAGTATTTCTATAACAAAATAAAACAAACGCACGATAAGAAAACCAATTCAGGCTAAACTTATCAAATATTTTCTGCAATTATGCGTCGATATTATTTAAAAATCGAATTGTTTAATTCTAAATTCAAAGTTTTGCCCGTTGATTTTTATTGGCGAGAAGCCATCACGCATAGAGTTTGTATCACTCAATTATTTATCAACTGACTTTATGGTATGACGGCCATGTTTTATGATGAAAAACCATAGACAAATAATTTCCTTTAAAACCCAAATCTACCTTCAATAGCAAATTAAAACAACAAGTATATCTACCTTAATTTTTGTTACGTTTTTATAACCTACTTTTGAGTTATTATAGTATCATTTTTCTTACAAAATCTAATCATGTTTTACGACAGCAAATTAATGAACTCTTCGTGTATAAAGAACATATGGCGGGCCGCTAATGATCAAAGCACTAATTTGGAAGACGAAAAACTGCCGGATATTTGGTAAATATAAAGCTTTACGGAGAAATACATGGTAGGCACGAAAAATTTCCTAATTATATCATTTGCTTAATGTGAAGTCTTTGATATCTGATTCGATTTGAAATATAATGAGACCATAATATGTTAAGTAAATAAATCTTATATATAAAATTCACGTGTCACAGTTTTCGTTCCCATACTCCTCCGAAACGGCTTGACCGATTCTTATGAAATTTTGTGAGCGTATTAAGTCGGTCTGAGAATCGGCCGACGTCTATTTTTCATCCTCCTAAATATTAGGGGTAGTCCACCCCTAAATATTTTTTTTTTATTTTAAGGCAAAGCAACGTTTGCCGGGACAGCTAGTCATATATAAAATTCTCGGGTAACAATGTTAGTAACCATTCTCCTCCGTAACGGCTTCGACATTTTTTTTATTATTTTATAATATGGCATTTATAATATATTCAATCATCTAATTTTTCACCCTTTCATTACCAACCCCTATTTTTATAGCGATTTTAATCTATATGGCAAAACAACGTTTGCTGTGTGAACTAGTACCATATATATACATATATCAGTATATTCACACCGCTAACGATAATTCTTTGCACTTCCTATAGTTGACTGGTGAAAATACAGCATGGTGGTAAGTCTGCAAAATGTGTTATTACATATTGTGTGCGTTAAAGTTATATAAATAAACTACCTGTACCTACGACTTCGTCCGCGTGGAATTATACTTTATTTTCTAAAATAAAAGATTTCTTTCTAAAATAAAGGTACTCCTTATTACATCAAAAAAAGTCACGTCAAAATCAGTCCAGCCATTTCAAAGATTTGCCGGAACAAACCGTATTCATATTCATGTAGTAAAAAACGGTTATTTCAATATTACAAACAGACACTCCAATTTTATTTATATGTATAAATGTATAGATAAATCTTATATACTATGTACCATGTCAGATTGATTACCCCTAAAAACCATCGTGATAAATACGATACGATGGGCTAATGGACCTGACCTCATGCTCAGCCTATCAGCTTCCACAGCTTCCCGCCAGCGTAAACCGCTAAAACTGGTGCACCGCTAGGGGTTCCAACCTCCGCTCAGGCCGTTCGAAATCCGTTTGAATTGGACGGGGCTCGATCGGAGGAGGAACCGGAATCACCGTTATGGAGCGCCCTAGCGCGCGCAGATGCCCGGTTGATTGCGCGGTACGGTATGTTTGGGGTCGTTGTCTTCGCCGGCGAGAACGGTGTCGTGTGTGTGTGTAAAAATGTAGTCGGAACGAGTGGACCCGTAGGGAGATTAACTGCAGTTAAGGGGTCGAATGTGGGTAATAAACCATTAGAGTACGAATTTTCTTTCTTCTCTTGTTCTAGTACTTGGCTTGATGGGTGGATCACCAGTGACCATAACAACGCAGGTAGTCGGCTATCGCTTCGTACCGCAGCAGTTCTCATCGACGGGGCAGCTAAAGTTTATGAGAGAAAGCTAAAGCGTTTATTTGAAGGTAAACCGTTCTTTTTCATGCAGCTACTCATATGTGTAATAATAATAATAAACCAGGACAATTCACGCAGCGCTATCTAGTCTTAAGCTAAGCAATGCTTGTGTTATTGGTACTAGACAACTGATATGAATACTTAGAAATATTTTTTAAAATACATATATAATAGACAAACACCCGGATCAATACAAACAATCATACTCATGAATATAAATGTTTGTACTGTGCGAGGAATCGAACCTGCGACCTTCGGAAACTAAGGCAGTGTGCTAAACCGCTAGAATACCGAGGCCGTCAAGTGACAAGATAAGTCTATCACCGCATTATAGGGAGAATAAAAAGTATACCTTTCGTAGCCCATATAGTGGAAAAATTTAAAGCAATAAACTTTAAATATAGGGCTATATCCCCCCAGCTAGGGGGGGAATAATGTTTCAGTACATAGTATAAAAGTCGCTGTCGCTGTCTGTTCATATGTATGCTTAAATCTTCAAAACTATGCAACGGATTTTGAAGCGGTTTACTTTCCGTAGTTCCTATAGTGGAAAAATGTATAGCAAAGACTTCACAGTCTACTAAAAGGTTAACGTTGATGAATGTTATATTACAGATATTGACAAGTTAGAAAGCGATATGATAAAACGCAAACGATTGCACAGCGTCAGATCTGATGAGTACAGCATTCAGTCTGGGGATGACCAAGACACCACCATGTCATCAGATGAGAAATCGGAACAATCAGAAACCTCTATAGGTAAATTCATTATTTATTATACAATTCTAAATATTTTATATACAACTATATTATAGAGAATAGGCGGGGGGAAATATTGAGACATTTGATACGACACGATGAATTTATAAATAACTAGCTGTTATTATATTAACTTTATTTTCTAAATTTTTGTTTTCTAAAATAAAAGTACCCTATGTTGTTCCTTATTACATCAGCTACTTGCCAAAAAAAGTCCCGTCAAAATCGGTCCAGTCATTTCGGAGATTAGCCGAAACAAACAGATAGACAGACAGACAAGAATTATAAAAACTGATATTTTTTGGTGCATGTAGTAAAAAACGGTAATTTCAATATTACAAACAGACACTCCAATTTTATTTATATGTATAGATATTATCGAAAGAAATAGCCAAGCCAGCTATATCCAGCAGGTTAAGGAAAATGTTGGAGTCGTGTCGTATCAACAACATGTCGTGTCGAAAATAGTAAGAGCTCCACCGACAAGAAAAAAGCTCTTAAATTATGAATTAATGAATGACGGTAATGAATCATACGATCCATCTGATTGTAAACGGTTACTGTATACTATGTACGCCTGAACCACCAGGGGTGTCACATGAACGTTGCCATCCTTTAAGAGACCTTAAATATACCTTTCTAGAAAAATCCCATACTACAAATTCTAGTCGCTCCACAAGTCCATCCGCGGGTTTAGAGTGCCATCTGCACTCGCCCTCTATCGTTCGGTGGAGCTGTAAAGGCCAACTACGGCTAACAGTATTCGAATAGTCCGAAAATCAAGGGAATAAACATAAGAAAAATTAACGCAAATAAAATAACGGAAGGGGTGAAATATTATACACCTGACTTTCATATATTTATTTTATTGACAGTAAAAAACAAAAAGAAGACGAAGTCCTGAGAAACAGCTAATATTTGTTAAATACAGAAACAATTTCAGATAAATCCAATGTATCAGACATAAGTCAAAAACAAGGGGTGAATCGAGAGGATGTGAACATCATAACACCAGGCCGTTCCATTCCTGATAGCAATAGCGTTGGCTCTGAACGACAGCTGAGCACAAGCATTGAGGTTTACAAAAATAAATTAATAATCCTGTACAACCCACACAACCCCAGGTCCGAGCTAAGCAAAGCTTATCTCATGGGCACTAGACAACTGATATAAATATTTAAATACATAATATATATAGAAAACACTCTGACCAATACAAACAATAGTCATGAAAACAAAATATTGACAACATGCGAAGAATCGAACCCGCGACCATCGCGACAAATCGCGATTAATTTAATCTGAATAGAATAGAAAATCATTTATTCAAATAAATATATATTGAAGCACTTTCGAATAGTCATCACATCACGTCGCGGATTGTTGTGATGAATGATGAAAACACACAGACCGATACAAATAATCATACTCATGAATACAAAATATTTGTCCCGTGCGAGGAATCGAACCCGCTACCGTTGGATAGTAAAGCGTTATGCTAAACTACTAGACCACCAGGCTGTCCAAAATGTACTATCACGATATCCCAACGCAAACGACAATAGAGTTATGGTGAATGCAGCACTCGATTCTCCCAGATTTCTTGGAATACATAAAATCCAAAATGGCTGACAGTGAGCCCATCGCGGTCTATTGGATTAATTTGGTTTATTATTGATATTTCCTTCACCGAAAAATCAGCTGATCAGTCAAATAAATTGACAGATGTTTACGTCAGCGCTGTTTCCCCGACCGTGTATATCGTTAATATAGCCGAGTAAAGCATTCCATTTTCATTGATTATATAAAAATTCATAAAAATCGGTCAAGCCGTTTCGGACGAGTATGGTAACTAACATTGTGCCACGAGAATTTTATATACAAGACAAGATATAAAAATAACGATTATAGAATTATTGACTGTAAAGACGTTATTATACTATAAAAGATTTTTTAGAAGATGCTTTTCATTTTCAAGCTTTAAATAAAATATAATATAGATTGTATTTATTTACACATTTCAATTTAGAAATGTAAAGTTACAACAATACACTACTACAGTTACTACAAGAAGAACTAGCAAGAAACTTGATTACATTTATGGGTTATATATTTATGTATGTATATTGTTATTTTTTTATAGAAATGTATATTTTGCTTTGTATTTATATATCTTGCTAGTACTTCTTGTGATGATACAGTTTTCTGAATAGATTGAAAATAAAAATAATTATGACTTAATAAGTGCTTAATTTAAGTTTATTTTAATAAAAGATTTTATTTTATTTATTTATTCTTAAATAAATAAATAAAGTTTAAATAAATAAATAAAATAAAATCCTCATAGCATTCTCTACCAGCCAACCTTAGGGAGTGCAGAGATACTATACGTATACAGAATACTATGAGTGACGATTTAAAAGATAATTTAAAAAATAAGATGTAAGTATTGACTCTTTGTTTTATTCTATTGAATTTATTATTACAGCTCTTGGAAACATCAGATACAGAAAATACAAGCGTTACAAAAGAAGATTCCACCTCGCATGAAGAAAAAAGATGCACTGAAGAAGATACTTTAATGGGAGATTTTGATGAAAACCTACCATTTGGTTATGTTATGATTTATAACAGTATCCGTGATAAGATCCCGAGGAAAATCATATTTTCTTCATTCAACCGCGATTTACAGAAGTTAATATGAACAAAAGTAGATTACAGCTTTATAAATATATCGTTTACATTATAATTATTATCAGTGAACTAAAATATAATCTAGTGTTGGTATAATTAATAATAACAGTTCGAAGAAAATGTTTATTTTTCCTCATTCAGTAGCGGGAAGTTATTAATTAATTTGATAAAAAGTAGAACATTAATGATAATCAATTATAATCAATAAAACACTTCTACAACATTTATTTTTAATAGATCTTTTTATATTGTTTCGGTGTTGGTAATATAGAAAAGAATAAATGCCGAGTAAAATAACTATGGCATACCGAGAAAAAACTAATTTTCTATCGTTCATTTATGACTAAATTAAGTATATATAATTACAAAATCGTAGAAATAAAACATTATATTTTGTTTTGTATATTCTGTACTGTAAAAATTAAAACAATGCTATACATAAACATTGATATTTCATTTTTTTATGTCAAATTACTGTAAAATAGCTTGGGACTAGATGGCACTGCGTGAATTGTCTTGAAATATTATTATTATGTGGTCTTCTAGTAGAAAAAAATGCATATAAAAATTAATTTCAAAACAATTTCAATTATATTTTACAGTCCAATTCTGTAAGGAACCCTAAATAACCTCTGAAAACATCCCCACACCTTGGGGCTCTTCAACTGAGGGGTTTGATATTGAGAGCACAGCGTATACATTTCTTTACAAATCAGACAAAATTTTATGCATATAATAATTAATTTTAAAACAGTATTAATTATATTTCACAGTTCAATTCTGTAAGGGACCCTAAATAACCTCTGAGAACATCCCCACGCCGTGGGGGCTATCAACTAGGGAGGTTTGATATTGACAGCGTATAAATTTCTTTATAAAGCACCATTGTTATGAATCGTTTTGTATAAATGACCTTTTTCAGTCAATACAATGTTGACGGTTTTGTGGCTATTACCCGTAATAAAGTTAATATCCAATGCCTTAATAATTGCGCTACGTAATCTTAATAATAATATAAACGAAACGAAAGTCTGTGTTTATGGATGTTTGTTACAGGAATATAGCTTATATATCAGAATAACAAATAGGCTATAATTTGTTGTCATATGTTTGTGTTATTATGTAAATTGGGAGAAATATAATGACAAATGTCATGTAAGTGCATGTGTAATGCTGCAGACGAAGTTGCATGAGTCAGCTATTATATAATAATAACATACCTGAACAATTCACACAGCACAATCTACTTCCAAAGTAAGCAGAGCCTTTTTATGGGTACTAAATATCTCATATAAATACTCAGATATTATTCTTGATATTTAGATAAACATAAAAAATACCCAGACCGATACAAACAATCATACTCATGAATACAATTTTTTTAATGTGTATGGAATCGATCTCGCGACCATCGAAAGTAAGGCGGTGTGCTAAACCGCTAAACCACCAAGGTCGTCAAAAGTAGTTTTTATAAATCCAATTTTTTTGTTAAGATTAATAATTTTTGTTAATTCTTAATAACCCTGTTAACTATTATGTTAGAAGAGAATGTATGGCGTCAGTTGTTCAGACAGAGAACTTTTGATATTTTAAATATGTTAGACACTAATTTAACGCAGTATTATCTTATATATAAAATTCTTGTGTCATAATGTTAATTATTTATTTATTTATTCTTTTGCACACAAAATGTATACATGGCGGACTTAATGCCTTATGGCATTCTCTACCAGTCAACCGTCGCGTTGATCAGAGATAATAAGGCGGTGCACTTTAATAATTAATTGAAAGAAAAAAAGAAAAACAAAAATTATAACAAATAGATACAGAAAAATAGTACATATATATACAGATGCAAATATATAAAAATACTAATATACCAATATAAAATATATAAGTTTATGGATTACATATAAATAAAATATAAAATTAAACTAAATATAATAAATATTCATATAATCTCATGGAGTTATATCTTGATAGCTTAAGTTTAGCAGAATACTATTAAAGAAATTTGGAATAATGTTCACGCAAGGACCTCTTCAAGGTAAATTTGGTTTGACATCTTCTAAGGCCAACAGGAAGTGCATTCCAAAGGTTAATGGCAGAAATAGTGAAAGATTGAGATGAGAAATTAGAGCGATGAGAAGGAATAAAGCAGGAGATTAGATGAAGAGCGAAGATCACGAGAATGTGATGAACTTAGAAATTGAAATCTTTCTTTGAGGTACTGAGGAGCTAGTGGATCGTATAGAACAGAAAAGAGTTGACAGAGAATTCTAACACTCCTGCGCTGGCGAATAGGAAGCCATTTCAGCTCAGCGCGGAAGTGTGAGATATGGCCATATTTACGTAGACCGAATATGAAACGTATGCAATTGTTGAGTAAACGATCCATTTTATTAAGGAGGTCTTGGTTAAGATTTGAATAACACACATCTCCATAATCAATTATAGGTAATACCAAAGACTGCACTAAAAGACGTTTAGTACCAACCGGAAGAAAGTTTTTAAACCTGTATAAGGACCGTAAGGCAGCTATGACTTTTCTACTGACCTCATTCACCTGTCGATTCCAATTAAGGTTATTGTCCATGTAAAGGCCAATATTTTTAACATGGCTGGTATATGGTATAACTGTGGTGTCAAATACTAATTACGATACTATCTATACATACATAGTTAATGTTTATGGTGAAATAGTGCAGAAAGGGGTTTTTTACAAGAATGCTTAAATACTCTATAAAATAAACACAACTGCAACCTTAAAATTAATTTGTGCAAGTAAACCCGTGTGAAACAGCTAGACTCCTATATATATATCATATGTGGAATTGACACAAAAAGAGGAAAATGCATGTTATTTACAGAGAATAAAGTAGGCTGCGATTACACTGACGTGTCAGATGTAAATGAACTTAACAAATTGTTCACATTACAAAAACCGAAATATTTACATGGATAAAATTATTTAAGAGCTTCCGTTATTTCGACGCTGTTACAAATGTACTGACAGACTGACAAAGATTTGTTAGTCATTGTCAATCAGTCAAAACATTTGTAACAGCGTCGTTTTGTTTTGGACATTTGTGACATGTCTACCCATGATCATATCTACGATGGTTTTATTTTAATTGTACACATTGTATAGACGAGAGCGTTTATAAAATGTGTACAATTGTATAACCGAGAAAAACTTTTACCCACGGCTTCGCTCGCATTGAATCCATTATATAAAAATATTGTATTTGTAAAAAATATTAGACAATAAAGATAAAAATATTGTATTTGTAAAAAATATTAGACAATAAAGATCTTATTATTATATTATTATTATTATGTATGTATTTACAAAAAGATACCTAAGTGTATCAGCGATATATAGTTCGATATATACATGGTTCCGATATCTCGATACATCTGTGACGTATATCCTATTCGTATCGGTACGATCTGTCAATGTATCGCCGATACCGTTCGATACCGACCGATACCGATCGATACGTAGATTGAAGTTGATATACGCGTACGTCGATGACCTTGGCCGTCTAATTTAGCACGCTATCTTAAACGATGCCGAAATCTATCCCCATACAAATAAAGCATTTGTTTTTTTTTAATAAAAAGTATTCAATGTTCATTCTAAGATTTCCAAGAACATGTGTACAAAATTTCATGATGATTTATAATATTATTAAAGATACTACGTGGCATGGCCAACGTAGTTTGCCTATAAATTACCATCGCTATCAATAATTGGAGTTGGTGGTAAAGTTATATATATACTTCATACGAATATTATAAACGTGGAAGTTCGTAAGTGTCGATGGATGTTTGTTACACGCAAAAACTACTGAACTTTACAATAATATAGCTACATACATACATCACTATAACAAATAGGCTTTAAATTTTACACGTGTGTACCTGCGGGCACAGCTTGTAAAACCAATAATAATATACCTATATCATTTTGGAAGATAATTAGTCAGTTAAAACTATTTTTTTTTTAATACTCTAATGCTTTTGGCCGCAGTTGGCCTTTACAGCTTCACCGGACGACAGGGGGCGAGTGCATATGGCTGCCGGCTGACGGAGACCTTAGTCTGAAAAGTAAGTATAAAAGGAAAATATTGTTTATATTATAGTCCGGTGTGAGCTGCAGCCGATAACACGGATGTCTTCCCTGACGATGCATTGTCAGAAATCACGACCAAACATTTATAAAATAAAATATATTGTAGAATAAAGAACTATTCAGAAATTTTTTAGGTATATTGTTCTTATTTTCCCAAAAACACCAGTACGTTCAAAAATGTAGGTAGACATATTTGGGTACACTCTTTTTCCCTACCATGACGTTGACTATTATAAAGACCACACCTTACGACACGACAAGCGTGAAATTTCCTAACATATAGTTAAAAACGGATGGTGAAACTAAGAGTTTAACAAGTGATATTGTGCTAACACATCCCCTGGACCCTGATATGTGCTGGAGAACCTCGAAGCCCTCGAAACATCAAGATACCACTGACAAATATAACCCTCACACGCTTCCACTTTTTCCCTAACACTTACTTTATATATACATGCATATTTTTTACATGGGAAAATACGTGATGGAGATCCGCCCACCGGTTAAAACCCTATGGTGTCCTTGATAGAGATATTCAGTGGACATACAATTAATACATATAAATAAAATTGGAGTATCTGTTTGTAATATTGAAACAACCGTTTTTACTATATGCATATGAAAATAAATATCGTACATACACTTTTTAAAATGTCTATGTCTATCTGTCTGTTTGTTCCGACTAATCTCTGAAATGGCTGGACCGATTTTGACGGGACCTTTATTAGCAGGTAGCTGATGTAGTAAGGAGTTACTTAGGCTACTTTTATTTTAGAAAAAATCTTTTGTTTTAGAATATTACTATATTCCACGCGAAGTCGCGAGTACAGCTAGTAGTAAATAAAATTCATTCTCGATTTCATCATTTCGAT